TTTTGTTTACTAAAAGTAAGATGTCAACTTTAATAAAATTTATTGCTGAGACAATAAGTATGAATTTTGAAAAATTACAAAATACACCCTATGGACAAACTTTAGAAGTGCCTTCCTCCTTTTTGAGTCACTTCATATTTATTGCCCCAGCAATAAATGCATAATTTTTATAAGGGTTTGTGCCGCCACCAGAGGGTACATTGTAATGTTTGCATGTTGTCGGAAAGGAGGACATTTTTAAAGTTCGTTCATAGGAAATATTTTGTAATTTTTCCAAGTTCACGAGATATCCTGAGACCAAAACAATTGACACACGTCATCTACAAATGAGTGTGCTGCACCATTAAGGAGATTTTGTGCCCTATTTCTGTACTAATAAAAAGAATACACTAAGGTAGAATTTTTTATCCACCTACCACAGAAATTGCAAAATTTAGCACTTACAATTACCTCACACCAAAAGCAGGTAAAGGGGTAAACTTGTAAATGATACTTATAAATATGACAGTATTTATAGTAACAGTCAAGAATAGGCCTATTTAACTATCAGCACCTAATATAGGCTTTTATTTCAGAATATCTCATACATACGTAAAAGGAGGAATTCCTTATAAATTTAACATTCTCTAGTTTCACAAACTTTATTTTTAACCTTACACAGGTACCCTTTTATCCCATTTTAACCTGTTAGGTGTAAAATTATATGTTGGCCTTAAGCCTTTCAGGCAAACTATTAATTACAGGTTTGTTTCTTTTCAAGCTTTTTCCTTGTGTATTGTCTATTTATGCAAAGAAACAACCAGTTGTGTTTTCTTATTTTGTAACAATAAATAAAATAGTCAAAAAATTGTAAACAGTGGAAAATCAATACTAGCATTTACAATAACTCCACTCAACCTGCATTGTGACCATATTACAGTCAAAAGACACGACACACTCATGGTCATGAGACGGCTTGTACATTGCCACTTTGGCTCAGGTGACTTCAGGGATGGTGCTTTGTATTAAACAAAAATCTAATTGTTATTGAATTTGCAGGACCATGACACACTTAGTATTATATATTGACTGATATTTTGTATTAACCAAACTCAATGTTGGGACGCATATCCTCATCCACAGAACTACAAATCTACTTTGCATACACCAATAACACAGTAATAGGGTTTTACTATGTATAAAACTAATATTGTTTTATAAAGAATTATAATAAACTGCAATAGAGATGGGAACAGAATCACTTTGCAGTTGTAAAACACTAGGGTCAACCATTAAAGGCAACTGTGGGTTGTGGGTATCATATATAATTAATGATAAAACACAGTATACAAAGTATTGCATCCATTCTATAAAGAACTAAAAATACTGCTCTAATAATCAGCAGAATTTGAAAAATTAAAGATACTATTACTAAAAGGTACATAATTATTGATTTTTTGAATTATTCTTACTTTTATTGTTTCCAAAATTGTGTATATGCATATGAGTGATTTCATTGTCCAATAGGAAGAAATACAACTACTTTTTGCTGTAACCTAATGATTCTTGATGTACTGTACTTTATATTTTAACTAATTTGAAAATTTTTTCTAAAACATTAACTTTATTAATCAAGAATCTACTAAAACTAATAATTAAAGGCAATGATTAACTTATATGGGATTGTATGGTATTACAAATTATGCATCTAAAAACAGATTGAAGCAGTGATCTGGATAGAAAGCTTATCTGCTTGGTTTGTAACAATTGTATGGTTTAAATCTTGTGAACCTTGATCTTTGCTTTTAGACATCATAACTGCTTGCTAAATTAATTTGTTACTTAATTTCTAATCATCAGATTTAAGTCACTTCTTATTGAGTTTTCATGCTTTTAAGGACATTGAAATTTGTAAAGATGCTGCTTAAAGCAAATCAAGATGATGAACTTTGACTACTTAATTTAACAAAATTGCTACATTGTCTACATCTAATTTCTAAATGATGATAAATAATTTATTTTAAAAAAATCTCAGAATTCTAACCCAATGAAATCCAATAGAATCTGGTTTATATTTAGTCAAAGTTTAATCTTAAAATTAAAAACATTATTCTTAAATTCTATTTAAAATTCAATAATGTATGTTTTAAATGTATGAAAAATATTAACAGTAAGAATAATTAAAGCAAATGTAGAAAAATTGATACCTAAAAAGAACTAATATTTATTTGAAAACTGCCACACATGAATAATTCAGATGGTGAGCATTGGCCTACTTTGTCAATTGTCATAGATTCAATCATTACACTCAACAATTGCATTTTTTACATTTCAAAATCTTTCCATTTAAATGATTCAAGATTAAAATAACAGATTACAACATATACAAAAAAACTGAAAATTTTTTCAAGTCTTCAAATCTAGCCACTCCAATACAATTGTACAGAATATCAATTCAGAAAACTGTTATTATAAGTGTGTTTCAAATCATTAGCAGAAATTAATAGATCAATATACTATAAATAACCATTTCTTGTTCAAATAGTTTGTTTAAAAATTGCACTGGTATATGCTCATACAAATTTATCTCAAGATTAGAAAACATTTTTATAAATAGAATATATAAGGAAAACATTTAGTTTTCCAACTTATATTTGATTACAAATACAAATATTCATGTAATTGAACTTTATAAAAATGAAGTTCTTTTAAATAATTAAACAAAACTCATTATAAATGAGTACAAAGTTTTTCTTTCAAACATAGGATGGTCTATTTACCAGGAACATATTCTAATATTTTTATTCAAAGGTTCAGCAATTTTAAAAATATTGTTAGAAAAATAATAAAGAAATCTAATTACAACTCTTTTTTAGCACTGTTAATATTAGAATTAATTTTATTAATAATTACATCTCATTGTAATGACAACTGAAAAATTCATTCTCAAGTTTATACTTATATATATTATTCTCTCTCTAATTAAAGAGAATATAAAAATTAATGTACTTTTTTTACAAACTTTTTCTGCAAATATGCCTTAAAATTTCTAAGAAAACTTCATATTTTATAACTATTACTGTAACCTATTATTCAACAAATTGCAGTTATTTATTGTTTATTACACAAATTATCGAAATTACGCTAAAGATTACATAACCAATAAAAACATTCAAAAAATTTACCACACAGACAACTCTTACTTCATTTCTCCTTTATTAATTCTCAATTACATTATTAAAGAAAGAATAAAACAATGTTCAAGTTACTGAAGTAGAAAACAATCTTTTGCTTCAGATTAAATTTGTGTGCAGATTTGAAACAAAACAACAACAACTACAGCAAAAGAAAAATAATTAAACCAGTTCAAAACAAATTTAAAAACACTTAAACTTCTATTAAATTCTCAAAATAGCATAATTTTATCCTGATAGTAATTTTTTTCTTAAGCTATTCCTGAAATTGCCTCATATCCTGCTTAAGTTTGCATCCAATAACATGGTTTATCATCTTAAAAATTCCTGAGTAACTGCAGATTGATACATTATAATATAATTTGAAATGAAATAATGAAAAATCTTTGTAATAGTTAAAATAAATGAATATATCTAACGTAGTCTGAAGTAAATAATGTAAAATGTGGAAAACAAACATTAATCCTCAAAACCTCAGTAAGTTAAGATCTATTCTTTTGTATTATCTTTAAATTTTTAAAACAATACAAAACAGCTAACACGGTCAATAATTTGCTGACAAATATGCAATGTCATTTTAAATATTTCTCAACAATCACACATTTAATACATTCAAATAGCTTCGAAACAACTTTTAACAAATATTTCAAGAAAGGGATATAAATTAATTTAAAACAAATTTTAAAAACTTTCTTTCCATTTCTTATTAAAATCACTGCCGAATTGCTCGAAATATAATTTGTAACAATAAAGTAGGATAATTCCACATAAAAGTGTTACTCTTTCATATCCTACTTAAGTTAATACCATTAATATTATGGCTTACTGATATGCAAGAAAGTTATCTGCAAACCAAAGGGTAAATTGTACGAATCTGTCATTAGACCTGAAATTTCATACACAGCCGAAACACAGGCAATGACAAGCTCAAGAAAGAAAAAGAAAGACAGGAAGTGACAGAAACAGACACTTGAAACATCAAGAAAGGATAGAATAAGGAACGAATTTATCAGAGGTTCTGTTAAGGTGGGTCCCTGGAGCAGAAAGATGCAAGAATGCAGATTGAGGTGGTTTGATCACATAGAGCAAAGTAGCGAAGATTATGTTGGAAAGCTGGTAGCGAAAGGAAGGAGGAAGAGAGAAGACCGAGGCTGCGTCGGAAAGATGAGACTCAAATCAGAAGGGACTTAAGAGAGAAGGAGAAGATGCCCTCAATAGGAAGAAATGGAGGAAACGTATTAGAGAAGGAAACACCGACCCCATATAAACAATGGGAAAAGGAGAAGATAAAGAAAAATAAGAATGATATGGAATCTCATCTTTAATAACCTTACATTTAATATCAATACATTTAAATCTTGTTAATGGATTTCAATTGGCATAGAAGCAATTCATAAATACAGCGAAAAGGATACGAATTTAATCATCTAAATGGACTTTACTATCATAAAATTGCATAACAACACACATTTTCATTTATCAATTGCATTTCTAATGGGAATTATTGCATAAAACCCATCAACTGAAGAGATTTTATGCATTAACTTAAATACGCAATTCATTTATTTAATTATATAGAAATTTTCCTCGTAAAAACCGAATTAAAATCACTGTTTAACTTTTGTAGGTAAAAATTATTATTGAGGAATAAAAATATCAAAACAAGTCAATCCGCCATTTTGTTAAACGTCCCATTATAACAATTTTCGTTATATTTACGCATTTATAATATTCTTTGTTATAAAATTAAATAATAGAATTAACGAATAATAAAATATCTTTACGGAAAACGTTTTATCTCGGTACAATTTATAAAATTACACTTACCGTTTGGATGACTGTCCGCTTCACTAATAAAAGGCACTGGGCGTTGACAATGGCGGACGAGGGGAATGACATCACTGTACTACTTCCGTTTCCTTTAAATAATTTTGAAGTATTTTTATAAAATTAACTATATATTAATATTTCGTCTGTTATTTTAGTAATTAAAACATTAATACTAATTTAATTTGTTTAAATTTGTATTTTAAATATTTACGCAGGAATTTTAAACGTTAGGTCAGTTATTTTATAGCCTAATAATAGTTAATTTATAGCCCAATAAATTTAATATCGATTGTTCTTTTAAATATTTTCGAAATTGCTTTCTTTGTTTATCGTTTTGAGAAAACTGAAGGTATTGTTCTGTTTGAGCTTCGAAAACGGGTCCTTATGGTGGAAGCACATGATTTTCTGTGCTATTTATACAGAAATATTTCTTTGTTTTACTCTTTCCGCCATGTCGGCATCAAAAGAGCCTTTTTTAGCAAACCCATTATGCGTTCGGCCAAGTCCACAATAGGGCGGAGCATTATTTTAATGTAATGACGATCGGTAATGCAATGACCGAAGCGTAAAGCATACACTTTGTAGTTCTCAGAGTCGAGATTCGAGACTTACAAAAGATTATTGGAAACTTCCACGCGTAATTCGATCGGTTTATTATTATTAATTAATGTTGCGAATGTCGTGCTCAGATGATAATGGTGCCGAGTGCTATGCCAGACTACAGTCAAGGCATAGCTACCCAAATAAGTGTAACATTAAGCTTCCGTGTTATTGGTATATGTGTCAATGTCTAGAAACTTCCTAACAATGTGACATGTCTTCAATATTGCAACTTTCTGCAGTGCCATGTATATGTTTTTATTAAGATTTAATGTTTCTAGACTTTTGTGTAGTGTATGTAGTAAAATACCAGTAGAAGAGAGGATAACAGGTACTGTACAATAAATAGCTTATCCATATTCCACATCTGTCTTATTTCTTGAGCGGGTGGAGTGTACTTGTTGATTTTTCAGTGTGAGCATTTTTTTTATGTTATGAGTGCTTGGAAAGGATATGTGTATTATATAAGTGATCTTCCCGCATTTGTCAATGAGAGTGATGTCAGGTCTATTGTGATAAATTGTTTTATCTGTGATTATGGCTCTGTCGTAGTATATTTTATGTCATTTTCTAATACTGGCTGTGAAATATATTTGTAGTATGGTACCTGGATGATTTAATAATCTATGTTTGTGTGCAAGCTTTTGGTGTATTATATTTGCTATTTGATTGCTAATGTAAATAGACTATTTGTGTTGAGAGCTTGCAACCAAAGGTTATACGTTGTATTGTTTCTGGCATAATGTGGCATTTTCTGCAAGAGTCATATGTGAGTGATGAATCCTTAAGAATGTGTTTATGGCCTGATCTAGAACGGCGTCCACAAAATCTTTAGTCTCTCCAAACAAGTAGCACATAGTCAGCAAGTAGATCGACACAGTTTAGTCAATATAGTCCTGAGCTAGGTCATAGAAATGCCTTCCATAAAGTGTCTTTTGGGCCTATGACTGCTTAATGGTAAGGTGACCAACTTTTTTACAATGAAAAAGAGGACACTAATAAATTGAAGGAAAAAATATCGTAAATAAAAAACATTTTATTCATTGCAACAATAATACACTATAATAATCTCTGCTGCATGTCATATCATGTTTCGGTAAGAAGTAAACAAAGCCATTTGCGCTCTCTCTCTCTCTCTCAATGTCTCCCGTGCGAAGAGCATGCGTCTCATAATTGCATCTCGTTGCACTGTACAGCGCCTTGATGAATCGACATGTTAAATACAAACACGTCATATCACATCACACACAACGGATCGGTTCGGCATTGATCGAATACGGAGATTTACAGATTAGTCTTCAAATATCAAAAAGGAGGACACTTTTCGAGGGAGGACAGAACTTACAAAAGGAGGACTGTCCTCCCTAAAGGAGGACGATTGGTCACCTTATTAATGGTGTCTATGTTATTTATGTGTTGAACTACGTCCAGGTTCTCAGAGTGTATGAAAAAGTTATGGTTACTGTCTGCCAGAGTTATAGCTTTATATAATCTTGAGTTTTCTTTTTTTGTGAAAAAACTCGCAGTGCTAGAATTTGTTTGCAGTGTAGGTTAACTACTGTATATTAATAAGGCCACGGTTATCTTTACGAGGAAGAGTTAGTTTTTTCTTATTATTATTATTTTGTAATTTTTGTCCTGTTGATGATAACAAATAAGTGAACCTTTTTCCGCGCCCATCATAATAAGTTCGACCGGCTCACAATGGGGTAACCGGATTATTGAGAGAAAAAGTCCGGCATTACAGACTTCTTATGAACAATTCCTAATGTTGCTTATCCGGATACAGTATATTCGACGGCCGGATGGCCAAGCGAATAAGTAGGCAGCCTACCGCTCTAGAGATCCCGTGATCGAATACGGACGGATCGAAAAAGCCCTCAAAATTTTTTAGGTGATAGTCAGTCCAGATAAGTTGGTCCTCGTCCCTCGTTACCCCGACCATTGTGGTCCTGACCGAATCCATAAGGGGCTTGCTAAAAGAGACCCTCTTAGTGCCCATAGGGCGAAGAGTTATGAACGATAATAATAAAAAGTTCCTAATATATTTTTCAGATTTGTGCTACACGATAATACTGATATAATCCGATCTGAATCTAATTTAAATAAAATCATATATATTCTATGATTGTTATTAATGTCAGAACACTAATTAAAATAAGAAATTGTCTTTTCGGTCTGGTATGATGAAATACAGCAACAGGACAAAGGGGCGATCTGGAAGAAATTCTTCGCTATAGGATTTTTTTATCCTTATTTAGGTGCATACTTAAATACTTGAAGAAAACCGGTAAAACTCGTGGCCAGCCTATTGGTTTTATCCACTCGGCCTCTATTGGAAGTCTTTTTGACTCCCAATAAAGGCAATTAAATTAATAAAATGAAAAAATTATACTGTATTCGACTGGTTGGATATTTTGTCATTAGTATGATGTCACAGTGCCCATTATTGCGATTGAAAATAGTGCTTAAAATTTTCATTGTTTTTTTATGACAAAGTCCTTTTCTTTTTCAATACGGAATTAATTTCTTTCGTTTCCAACTGAATAAAATCATTAAAAACCAAAATTATTACAGTTACTTTCTCCCAAAACAACTTTAATGATTATTTATTTCTGTATTTTTTGGTCTTTACTCGTCGAAGTTTCATAAAAAGTGTATTAAAAACATACTCTTTATTGAATTCTGTTATGCCGATGGTAGATGGTAACCTACAACACTTAGTTTTTGACTCTACGCCCTGTCGATACCAGGAGGATTTTTCCATGCTCGTCGTGGTCAGGACAGAAAAGAACTCCTCCATCACTGGCGGAGGCCAACGTCATTTTACCGGGTTTAAAATTAATAAACAGAATTCGAGAAATGGGTGAAAAAGTCGAAAAGCGGCTTTTCCCCCCATCTCAAAGTATGATCGAGTATGGACGCTAAATTTACGAAGGAAATTTTTGTCATCCGATCTTTACTTTGATCTTTTATTGATGTCTAACGACAGACATCACACCGTTGTTGTTCTGTGTACTTTAATTTAGTCAAAGTGTAAAAAAAATCCTCGGACTGCGCCCAAGTGTCTGTCCGTAAATTGGAAAGGACAGAAACGAAGCCAGATGAAAGGCCGAGTCCAGTTCATTATATAGTCGTAGTCGGGTGAAAGGTCAACTTCGGGGGAAGATAAACTCGGCGGAGAAAAGATTTATTTCCTGCAGAAAAAGAAAAGCCTTCTTCCAACTCTTGACGGATTTTTTCAGGATTCCTTTCGACTCCTATCTCGCGCGACCGTCTCTCCACCGTCCATTCCGCCACTTCCGGGTATCGTCGTCCCAGGTACTCGACAAGAGACGAGGTGCTTTCCTTCGGAGATATGACAACATCCCATTTCTTGTCGGGTGTAGGCGACTTCCGCCCTCCGCTCTGCTCAACTTCTTTCGGAAGCACCCGAATTACTCGAATGGAAGTGGAAGAGGAGGTGGTCGAGGCACTTTTCTCCTGTTTAACATCTCCCGAAGTATGTCACTTTCTCAACTCTGAAATTGTCCATTCTGCAATGAAAAGCAAGCGACTATTGTAAAAATATTCCTATTGTCTTAATTCCTTCTACATTGTAAGTAATATATAAATTTTTTATATAAAATTAATTTGATAAGATTGTAGAAAATGATCACTTTTGTGGGAGGACAGAACTTACAAAAGGAGGACTGTCCTCCCCAAAGGAGGACGATTGGTCACCTTATTAATGGTGTCTATGTTATTTATGTGTTGAACTACGTCCAGGTTCTCAGAGTGTATGAAAAAGTTATGGTTACTGTCTGCCAGTGTTATAGCTTTANAAAAAAAAAAATAGTTATTATGAATTAAGATAAGAAGGAAAAAAAGGAAAGGGTTCTAAATCATTGAAAAAGGGAAGAAAGGTGCATAAAGGTACAAACAAATGTAGCTTATTTGTTACATAAACATAAAATAAATACAAACTGTTTCTAAGCTCCCCCCTGAAATGTCAAAAGTGAGGTGCTGCACCTTAAATTCTGAGCTTTAGTCGTAAGGTTGCTTAAGATAACTGAATTTTCCCATTTTTGTAGAGCACAATTTTAAAATCTGGTGCAGACTCTTGCAAAGTATAGTGCTGCTTTATTTTTGAAGGTTTTTATTATAGTTCTACACTTGTATTTAGAATTTTATTTTGTTTACTAAAAGTAAGATGTCAACTTTAATAAAATTTATTGCTGAGACAATAAGTATGAATTTTGAAAAATTACAAAATACACCCTATGGACAAACTTTAGAAGTGCCTTCCTCCTTTTTGAGTCACTTCATATTTATTGCCCCAGCAATAAATGCATAATTTTTATAAGGGTTTGTGCCGCCACCAGAGGGTACATTGTAATGTTTGCATGTTGTCGGAAAGGAGGACATTTTTAAAGTTCGTTCATAGGAAATATTTTGTAATTTTTCCAAGTTCACGAGATATCCTGAGACCAAAACAATTGACACACGTC